CATTCTTTTTTAACACAATGCTCCTTGACATCAAAAACAAGTTAAGAAGAGGTTCTTCCACTAAAAGCTTCCCTATGGAAGAATCTTCAGGTCCTGCTAGAAACCTAGCCTCTTTGGAAGAAAAAAAGTCATCTTAATAGAGGTCAAGATCCTCATATGGGGTTTCCTGCACCAAGGTGCCCAATATAAAACTGGAGCCTAGAAAACAGTTCTGTTTTATCCTGGTTTCCTTTTACTGGGAAAAAAAAAAAAAAAAAAAAAAAGAGAAAATTGCTCAATACTACTGGCAAATGCTTTTATCTTTAACATATTAAAAACCAAAGACCAATATGGTATGCAAAGAGCAATGCATAGATATAAAATTTATGAAACTGCTAGACTGAAGAGCACACCACAAGTGCTAAGGGATAGCACTTCACAAGTATCAAATGTGAAATTATGTCAGAAGTTTGTGTCTGAAGGAAAAATTGACACTCCCAGTTCTTAGACCTTCTGGTTTAATTTTCTGATGTGAAATTAAAATTTCTCATTTTAAGATGGAAAACAAAAGAAAGCTGGAGCATTATGCTTAATACTCACCTGTAAGAATTCAACATACAGAAGTTTTTTCTCCTCTGTATTTACATTCACATTGATAGAAATTAGAAGTTCAGAAATTTCCTTTTTTTTTTTTTATTTTGGACTTCAGCTTGTCCTGGTCATCCAATTGTCAAGGTCAAGTCTTCAAAAGTTACTGGAGTGAACAAGAAAGCCCCTGTTCTCTGTGAAGCAACAGCTCTGATTGTTGGAACAAGGCTAAGTTTAAGTTTTCTGTTTCCTTTCAAATGATATAAGCCACAGAACGATGGAGGAGTTCAGGTTTCTTATGCAAGTGCTGTTACTGAAGAGCCACAGAAAAGAAGCATTTAGCCAAAGCAAAACCAGACAAGTTAACTCTTACTCTACTCACAGGAAACTGCTTCTTTGCATATATCCATGCAGTAGAGGAAACAGTCCTCCCTGAATATTATTGTGGCTAAGCACCTAAGAATCTTATTCTATTGCTGCACAACTAAAGCAGCTAAGGTGAAGACTGCTGGGAAATGGGAAAGTAACATACCATAGCTTGAAAAAAAGCTTTAGTGTAAAGCATAGGATACACAGAGACTATCATATTAACTCCTTTTACACCCTACACGATGTCAGAGATTAGATCTGCAGAGGCTGTTTATACAAGAGACTTAAAGTGAGAACAAATGACTGAATAAAACCGTTATGATTTATGAAGGCTGCCATTACAATTTACCAGTAAGAAATTCCTGTTTCACGTTATTTAGATGTTAATTTTGTTTGAGAAAGCTACTCAAAACAAAAGGACATTAAAAGTTGCTTTGATAAAACTACGAGAAAGCCAAGTTAACCAGTCAAGTGTAGTCTTCTCAATCCAGATCTGTTTACTGAAAGGTGAAACATGAAAGACGTTATTCTTAGAGAATAAAAAGCTTCTTACTTAATTGAGGTTTTGCCAAGGCAAGGCTTGTCTATTTGCCAAATGACAGTCTTCATCAAGCTGGATTATTTCTCATTAACTCCATTTTTCTGAAGTAACAGTTACCTGCACAACATTACCCTGAAAGATTGGGTTCCATTCTAAGCAGTAGCTCAGACTTTCTCAGGAGGAAACTCAAGAGTTTCAGAAAACCTCTGACAAAATCTTACAGAAACAGAAACCTTAAAAGACTTCAGAATTGTATAATTTCATTCAGGTTTCTTATTCTCTTAACTGAGGCATTTACATACCATTTCCCTAGCATAAAAGGTTCAAGATTAAATTGCAACACTTTTAACTAAAACAGTGACAGTTGTAGGGAGTTCCTAGTCAGGCAGCATTTGAGATAGGCTTAAATGCTTTTAAGAACACCTTCATTATCTTTTTAAAGTGCGCATGTTTAAATAAGACAGTGTTATGAATTCATTAGAACAGCTGAAAACTTCAAGTGAAAACTGAAGGCTAAAGTGCTCAAGATTACATAACCACACTTTGTGTACAATTTAGTAATAAACCACGTGACAGGCTGCAATAGCAAGCAAGCACTTATCAGACCAAAACTTCCCAAACCATTAGATTTAGCACTACGGCTGCTTTGTTTAATAAATGCAGCACACTACTAATGTACAAAATTACTTCCTTACATCTCTTCAAGAATGGGAGAAAAAGGAAGCGAGGCAGGAAGTTTTTAAGTACTGCATCATCCAGTAACAGGCCATCTGTAATCAGACAACTCCAAACCTACATATTCATGAGGTTTTCAGATAAGATACCGCTTCACCTGACACCTGACACCTCTGTAAAGTCAGCTAAATAAAATTCTGTAACGAGCTAACAGAATAAGGCCCACAGAAAAGCAGTTTATTTCTAAGCACAGTGAAGTATCTTTATCACTACTGTGATGCATCTAAACAGAGTTAAGTCAATAAACAATTGTATTGGCATAATTAATTACATACCTTGCAGGTGCTGAGTAGGCATCTCCTATCCTCCTCCTCAGAACACCGAACAGTTCATTTGATAAAAAAGCAAAACTGGCCACGAAATTCTGATCACAACAACCCAGACAGGCTATTTTGAATGAAGACTCTGGAAATGACCGTTATGAGCTAAAGCACTTCAAAACTCACTTCCAAGTATTTATTTTGCTATCGTGTAACAAATACTTCCAACCACTTTCTCAGAAAGAAGGCTGCATTTTTGATAAAATGAGCAGAAGATCTGATCTGGTACATTAAAGTTATATTCCACTACTACTTACAGACAAGCCCTAACATGAAGCCCCCACTTTTTGTGCAGCCTGTGAAACGAAACAGTGTGACGTCAAGCTTGGTGATGAGCATAAGAGAAGCTATAGCAAAATTAGTATTTCTCCAAGAACCGAGTCTTGAGATTTATTCCTCAATTTGCCTCTACCTTTCCAAATTCAGAAAGGTATTCAAGAGTTATATAAAATTGTAACCCTAATGACACCTGCTTTTGCTTCCCTGAGACCGTATGAACTTCCTTAAATATGAGGGGGAAAAGAAAGGGCGGGGGGATAAAATGAGGCATGGGTTTACTACTAAATATTGCATACACTGATAGTGATAGGTGCAGCAAAACAAATATCAGGGGAAAGTTTAGCAACATTATGCAAAAAAGTTAGGCTATTATAGAAAATTCATTCATACCACCTGGTAACTGTCAATTTCTACCTCATATCACATTTTAGTATTTTGAGAGCACAAAAGTGACAGTACTATTATGGTATCAGACACAGGATACCTTTAAAACAGGTAAAATAGATTAGTTACTGTCAATTCAGAAAATACACCATGAGTTACATGTCCAAAATCTTTAGATGTGCTCTAGAAAATAAAAGAAACTGCTTCCTTCCACTATCTGGTAATTATATGTGATATCAGGTTACACCTGGTATGTAGTTAACAGATAACTGGGTTAAGGAGTATACCTATGGAATTTCTCTTACACGTTAAAGAAAATTACTTCCCCCACCCCTCAAATTCTTCTGTACTTTTTTTTTTTTTTAATATGACACTGTCCTCACACAAAATAACCCAGTAACAGCCCTTGGTTAGCACAGTCCTCTGTAACTAACAATAGAGAAGTGCTCCCCCTTCTTAACCACAAGATCAAACACCACATAAGATTCCTTCACCCTTCCTAGAAGCATATTAAGAATTAAACCCAAAATACCTTAGGTCAAACATAACACAGAAGTCAAGAATAGGAAAAAGTTTTTTTCATTAAAGAAAGTGGAACCTTTTCAAGCCACACAAATTGCTCAGGACCTTCCCCAGTTGAATTCTTCTTTCAATATTAGGTCAGCCTTGCCTTGGGGTACTCCCAAGGTGCCTTCCAATCTAAATTACTTAATGATCATAACAGAACCTACTCCCAACCCAAGCAGCTGATTATGGAAGTCAACTTGTGGCACGAATCCTTAGGAACTCCAGCAGAAAATGCACAGCTGAAGATGAGAAAGACTCAAAAACATGTGTATAAAAGACACCCTAAATGCAAGCTGGGCATAGAAAGTAAGCTAAAAACCAAGGAAGATTGGTTTACACCTTCACAGAACAGTGCTGAAGTCACTACAGAAGCGAAGGAAGAATGGTTGATGCTGACAAATTCTTCAACCCTGATGGAAAGGTGCACTAAAAACAGGAGCTCACTTTTTGTTTCACTTCTGCTACAGCAATGCCTTTGTTAAGTAGGTAGATAAACTGTCACACGTGAAACAGCTGAGTTGGGAACACAGTGCAGAGCATCTACTTTTTAACCACAGCAAAGTGGTTACTTTACTTATTAAGTGTATTTATGTCCTTTAATAGTTTTCACAACTATAATCAATTTTACTTTTAACCTTTTATGTGCAGTCAGTGTTTTCTGAACACATGAAGCTTTACTTCACAGAAAATACTTTTTCTGCTGTTCTAAAGCTACAAAAGCCATCAGGAAGTGCTATCTCAAAACTTTCTTATAAAACAAGTTGCAGATGCTCTTTAAAAGCACTTTTAAATACTGCATTCTTAAAATGCTGTATTAAAGGTGATCACAGTCTCTATATAAGAAAATAAAGGAAACATAAAACAAACTATCGTTTCATCTATTCATGCCAAATAAGAGTCTTCTATTTAAGACACCATTTAATAAAATGAAATTAGTCTTAACAGATCTTCATGTTGTAAACAAATCTTACAGGGCTCAGATATCCTTCTCCTAGTTCAACCAAAATTTAAGCCATTTAACTGGCCTTGCAGCTATTTTTGTGGGTCTCTTTTTTAACAGTAATCTTGTTAAACTAGTTTCAGCTCATAAATAAATATATTCGGGCTAACTTTATAGTCACGTTCCGTGCAATTAACTAAATAGGGCAAAAAATATTCTACATAGTATCAAAGTGTGTTGGGAAGACCCTCAGGTGATCACTTTGAATATGCAAAACCTAACAGATCACAATACTTACTTTTCATAGACCAGTTCCTCATCCGTACAGAAGTAGTGGGTGTTTACTGTACTTTTCGGTTTATTTCGTAAAGTAGCGAAGTACAACCGATCTGAAAGACAGATTAGGGCAGAGCGCCGGTGGGTGCGGGCAGATGCCCGGCCGGCTGCTCGGGGCACGCCTGTCCCCCCGGGCGGAAGAGGCTCCGCCGCTCCTTTTTCTGCTGCGTGAGCGGCGGCGGGAGCGCCCGGACCGCTCCGCCCGCGGGCCCTGCCCTGCAGGACTCCCCCCGGCCACCCTGGGGAGCAGCCCCAACCCCGGGCTCTGACCCCGGGCACAGCCGCACGGAGCAACAGGTGCCGGCCCCGCGCCCTCCCCGCCGGGGCAGCGGGGGCAGAACCCGCCGCGGTGCGCCCGCGGCAGCCGGGGGAGGGCAGCCCGCCGAGCCCGCCAGGAAAAGGGGCCGAGCACGCAGCAAAGCCGGAGCAAGGAGGCGGGAAAAGCCAGCGGGTTTCCTCTCTGAGGGAAGCCCCGGGAACCCCCGCAGGGAGGGGACGGGGCGGCTCCCGCCCCGCTCTCACCTTTCACGAACTCCGAGGCTCCCCCCAGCACTTCGGAGGCAGCCGCCGCCGGCTCCATCTTAAACAGGGTGCGGAGCAGCGAGGCGCGGGGCGGCTCCGAGCTCATGGCGCTCTCGGGCAGCGCCGGCGGGGCCGGGGCGCGCTCGCTGGGACCCGACCCGCTGCCCAGGGGGGCCGCCCGCCGGGGCCCACGGTGCTGCGAGCGCGGCGGCCGCAGCCCGCATAGGAGCGGGAGCGGAGCCGAGAACGAGCCTGGGGACACGGCGGGCAAGCACCCACAAGGACTCCAGCTCCACTCCGCCCCCAGCCGGGAGACGCCCCCGGATAAAGCGGCAGCGGGCGGTTACCAAGCGACCGGCAGCGCTCTGGCAACCCCGTTACGGAGCCTTTGTCTCGCCCGGCCCAGGGCTGACGCGGCGAGTGACCAGCCCCCCCGCGCTCGCCCCCCGGCCCGGCAGCGCCCCTGCTCCGCCAGCCAAAGTCTCTGCGCCCGGCGCGGCCCCGCCCTCCGCCCCGCCTGCCCTGCCGCCCACCGCCCGGGCAGCGCCGCCGCGCCCCGCTGCGCCGCTCGCCGCCTTTCCCCACCCGGGGGCGGCCGTGGTACAGCGCCCCGCGGGGACAGGGCGGGGGCCGAGGTGCAGCTCGGCGGGGAGCAGGGCTGGGCCGGAGCGGTGCCTCAGCAGCACAGGCGGGCTGCAGGCGAGCTCCGGCCGGGGGCAGGGGGAGCGGCTTTGGGGGAGCGGCTTTGGGGGAGCCGAGCACGGGGGAACCGCGCAGCGCTCACTGCTCTACCTGGGGCACCGCTCACCGTGACAGACAAAGCGGCTGGCCAATCAAGGGCCGCCCTCCTGGGCCTCCAGCCAATGAGCCAGCGCTGCCCGGGGATGCGCCCCGCCCACGGGCGCCCGCGGGCCGGGCTTTGTGCTGCCCCTCAGGCGCGGGCCGGGCCGGGAGCGGCGGGACTCGGGAGCGGCGGGACTCGGGAAGGCGCTGGCGGATGGAAAGAGCTCTCCTGACGCGCTGGCTCGAGCCGTGCGCGCGTTCTTCTGCCACCCTCCCCTTTAGAAAGAATTGGTGAGTGCCAAACGAGGCAGACGGTCCGTCTCGTGTTTACAACTAAAGCAAAAAAGTTGCGAACGAGAGGTAACTTGAGAAGGAAAAAAAGAGAAAAAAGAGTTATTCTTCCACCCAACACCTTAAAAAGATGTTGTAATACAAAGCCATATGCAGCCCTGAGGTTGACATTATTATCACCATCTTTCCCATGCAATATAAATAACCTACTGTAACTACCAGTTCAGATAATTAATCCCGGTGTGTCTGCAAATGAGACTAAACATGAGTGTGAAACACTTCTGACTCCTCAGTTTTTATTCTAGTGTCATAAGTACTGGATAACCTTTAAAGCTTTACAAATAAGATGAAGTGCTACAGAAAACACTTCTCTAGTGCAACTTGTTGTGCAGTTGCTTATTTTTTGTCTTGCTTCTAATAATTTGTACCTGTGTTCATTCATTGCTTCATTTACTTTTTTTTTTAAAGCTCCAGAGCTAATATTCGTAAATATGACTTTGTTTGGGCCTGATTCTGTGAACTTGGATCAGTAACATCATTCTCAGTAGTAAGTACTGTTCCATACAAGATGCTTACATGACTGAGACCATAGTCTTCTGTAACAGCAAATAAAATAAATGTTGTCAGAATGTATTTACTTTTCATGGAAATAAATGTGTTTATTTTTCCTTATATTGTTCTATAGGATTTTTGCTTATATTTAACTCTGAATTAAATCAAATATATTTTTTTTAATTTTTACTTACAGGCAATTCTCTGAGGGGTACCATAGCCTTACCTGTAAGAAAAGGGGTAATAAGGTGTTTTCTCCAGAACCATAGTTTTTATAACACCCTTTGATCAAACTTTCACTACAGTTCAAGGTAACATTTCTAAGTCTGTTCTGCACTTAAGGGGAGTTTGAATGAGCATAAAAATAGTCTTAACAATGCTCTCTTTGGCAACAGAAGCAAAGATGGAGCAATGGAACATCCTGCTATCCAGAATCTAGAATCCCTAGAAACTATTTGTGTCAAAGCCTATTATTTGTAAACTCATCTGCTGGATGCTGACTCTAGGAACTGAAGAAACTGAAGCCCTACTGTCAAATGTTTGCATACTGCTTAATACCTTCTGCAAAATTACAAGTACTATTTTTCATTGCATAGAAGTTCTCGTTTGTGGCAATTAGCAACAGCCACCAGATACATTTAAACTAATCTTTCTTTTCTTCCCTGTTAAAATATGTACAGAATAACCAATTTTTTTTTTCATTTCCAGTACTGCATCTCGTATTTTTTACTATTATTTAACTAATTCCACCTTGTAAAATGCTAGCTTTAAGAATGTTTTCAACCAGTTGTTATTATAATCCATTCGAATTACTCGTTTTAACATTTGATATCAAGTGTCAAGGCTACAGTGACATCTTGTGGCATTTTTTGGTAAAGAAGCAATCTTCTTACAGTCCTGTTGCATTATTTGAATACTAATATCCTGACTTTTTCAACAAGGATTTATCTTTTAGGTATTTTAAAGCCGTATGTTGCATAAATATTAATTTCTACACAACATTCAGAGGTGGTGATGAATCTGTTTAGACTCCAAAATATTTTCTAATGACATCTAGGTAATATCTTAGAAGAAATAATCACATGCATATTATTTTGTTTTTCACTAAAGAATCACAGGCACTTTTGTAATCACCAAAGGATAAAAATCAGCCTTTAAAAAATAAGCAAAAAACCCCTTTTGGTTACTAAACAAAATGAATTATGACTGGAGCTGAAATCTTACCTTTGAATTTTCTTTGCTCTCTAAGACTAACTCCTTAAAACTGTGGTTTTTTGATGTCCTTTTTTCCCTCAAAAGTGGGCCTTACCTAAATTAAATGACTGTATGTGCCAACAAGTACACGTTTTTTAAAAATAGAAATCTTGGTGCTGCTCATCTGTATGCAAACTGTTTAGACATCTAAACCCCTAAAATTTTGGTAAATAATCTGAAAATCATCACAAATCTGCTTCCTGTATTTTATTTGACAATGATACAAATTAAATTTAACAGTATCATTAAAAGCTTGTTCTATTAATTTTCTCACAGATACAGAAGAACAAAAAAACCCAAAACAAATCAAAACAAGTCCTTCCCTCCAACACAGAGCCCAATACTAAGATTTGGCTGAGCTGACAGTTTGTTTCACATTTTAAAATAAGATAAACAACAACTGTGAGTCTTCACAATTCTAGTTGATACTGCACAGAACAGAAATTACGGAAGACCAGTAAGTAAATGGAATACAGTAAACTACCACTGGAAAGTTGTATTTCTGGAAAAATGACAGACCTCTTTGTATACTACTCAGCACTACAGCACAATAATTAAAAACTACTTTTCACTATTACAACAAAATTAAGCAGACTTTACAATGCCATGTTAGGATTTTGCCCTTTGAATCTTACAAAAGTACTAGGAAGACTTCACTGAACAGAAATCAAATCCTTTAACACTGATAGAACAAGGCAATAGAATCCTCTGTTCCCCCCAAACACTCACACCCTGCTGTAAAGAACTTGTCATATTCTTCAATCACTTTTTGTTCAGCTAATGTATTACAAAGAGATGATAAAATTATACACTTTTTGTGCAGATGCTATTTGTTTACTAGGTATTGGCTGTTATTAGTTGCCCACAGATACCTTTGAACTTATACTAGGAATCAATTAAAAGCTGATGCAGATGAAACTAAATCTGCTTTGCATGCCAAATCTGGTTCTGTGGTCCAGGAAAATCACTGTCTTTTGTTCTTCCATACCACAAAACCCCCCCAAAACAACCCTTCTGCGACTGCAATGGAAAAAGTTTGCCCTGTCTATCTTAACACAAAGTTTCCAGAACTACAGAGCCCTAGTTTAACAAAAGCTATTGACAACAGCTCTGTTTCTTGCTATAAATGAAGCCAGGGAATTCAAAGACTGGTAATAGTCTATCCCTGTCAAATATCACTGTGCTGTAAAATACTTTTTCCCCTAATGCTTTACCCATTCATTGCACATTTTAATCCTGTTGTCATAGTCACCAAAAACAGAGAGGGAACTAAAAAGCAAACACATATTTGAGAGAGTAGTTAAAAAAAAACAACAGACCTGTAAAATTACAAAATGTACACTGTAATAAATGTAGAACAGCTTGCTCTTACTAGGAATTGTAAATAAGACTTTTTTAACAAGCGAGGATTTTCCTGGGCCCATTTTTGTATCAACATAAATGCAAAATATCAAAATAAAACGAAGTACTAAAGAGAGTATTAATAAATAACATCCCATCCATTTCTTTGACCGCTTATGTGTCATATTTCATGTTTCTTACATTTCCAACTGCTAGGATTTACCTTTCAGCTGCTTGCAGTGTTTCAGCAACTCTAGGCAAATCAATAATAGGAAAAAAAGCCACATCACAGATCATTTTCCACTATCTCAGCAAGAATAGATATGGTAGGCAATGGTTTTAGTAATATCTGAAATTAAGGTGAGGTAAGGTACTCTTCTTGCTTTCATAGCAGCTTCAGAACATCTCAGGACACCGAACAGCTTATATACAAACTTCAAAGGGGTTTTGTACAGGAGTGTAGAAGCCTGGCCAGCAGTTCACTGTAGCTTTTCTTCACTGGGAACAGAAGGAGGTGAGGAGAGGGAAGGCAAGGAAGCATCTCAACATATAACCATCAAAAATATGCCTAGGCCTCATTAGACTAGATACATATATTCAAGAAAAAAAACACAAAATGTAAGATCTGAAGAGGGGAAGTGCATTTTTCACTGCGTGTTTCTGAAGAATTGGCCCAATCAATTATAGTAATTTTTTAGATTTTAAGGAAAGAGGATGATTTTATCACAGCTAAATGTTGCTATATATTAAGTTTTGAGAAAACTTACCTTGGTGAATTAGTTTGAAAGGAAAAAAAACCACATAAAAAGCCCAATGGAGAAAAATCAGAGGCTACACAGAGGGATGGCCAAGATGCAGTAATTACACCTTCTTCTCTCCTTGAACTCAGTGCAGTTTACTGAGTACAGTTTAACATTTAACACCTTAAACTCATCGGCTTACATTTTATTTTTGTGATTGGCATAATTAGGAAAACCAAACTGAGAAATCATGATATTAG